TGAAAACAACTTCAAGTAGTTGGAAAAACTAAAGTACACCAGTTAAAAGGCCAACTCATTCAAGGTGCTGCTGGGATTTGAACCCAGGATCTCCTGTTTAAGACAGGCACTTTGACCAACTAAGCCACAGCACCTTGTAGTTGCAATAATAACACTCACTAAATGACAGGACATAATATGAAAACAACTTCAAGTAGTTGGAAAAACTAAAGTACATCATTCAAATTGTCAAATAATTCAATGGTGCTGCTGGGATTTGAACCCAGGATCTCCTGTTTACTAGACAGGCACTTTGACACACTAAGCCACAGCACCTTGTAGTTGTAATAATAACACTTTCACTAAATGACAGGACATAATATGAAAACAACTTCAAGAGTTGGAAAAACTAAAGTACACCAGTTCAAAGGCCAACTCATTCATAGGTACTGCTGGGATTTGAACCCAGGATCTCCTGTTTACGAGACAGGCAATTTAACAAACTAAGCCACAGCACCTTGTAGCTGTAATAATCACACTTTCACTAAATGACAGAAGTAATATGAAAACAACTTCATGTAGTTGGAAAAACTAAAGTACACCAGTTAAAAGGCCAACTAATTCAAAGGTGCTGCTGGGATTTGAACCCAGGTTCTCCTGTTTACTAGACAGGCACTTTGACAACTAAGCCACAGCACCTTTACTTGTAATCACACTTTCACTAAATGACAGGACATATATGAAAACAACTTCAAGTAGTTGGAAAAACTAAAGTACACCAGTTCAAAGGCCAACTCATTCATGGGAACTGCTGGGATTTGAACCTAGGATCTCCTGTTCTACGAGACGGGCACTTTAACTAAGCCACAGCACCTTGTAGTTGTAATAATAACACTTTCACTAAATGACAGACATAATATGAAAACAACTTCAGTAGTTCAAAAAAACTAAAGTACACCAGTTAAAAGGCAACTCATTCACAGGTACTGCTGGGATTTGAACCCAGGATCTCCTGTTTACGAGACAGGCACTTTGATCAACTAAGCCACAGCACCTTTACTTGTAATATCACACTTTCACTAAATGACAGGACATAATATGAAAACAACTTCAAGTAGTTGGAAAAACTAAAGTACATTAGTTAAAGGCCAACTCATTCATAGGTGCTGCTGGGATTTGAACCAGGATCTCCTGTTTACTAGACAGGCACTTTGGCCAACTAAGCCACAGCACCTATTACTTGTAATCATCACACTTTCACTAAATGACAGAAATAATATGAAAACAACTTCAAGTAGTTGGAAAAACTAAAGTACACCAGTTAAAAGGCCAACTCATTCATAGGTACTGCTGGGTTTTTAACCCAGGAGCTCATGTTTACTAGACAGTCACTTTGACCTACTAAGCCACAGCAACCTGTTGTTGTAATAAAAACACATTCACTAAATGACAGGACATAATATGAAAACAACTTCAAGTAGTTGGAAAAACTAAAGTACATTAGTTAAAAGGCCAACTCATTCATAGTTGCTGCAGGGATTTAAACCCAGGATCTCCTGTTCACTAGACTAGCAGTTTGACCAACTAAGCCACAGCACCTTGTAGTTGAAATTACAACACTTTCACTAATTGCCAGGACATAGTATGAAAACAACTTTAATAGTTGGAAAAACTAAAGTACATCAGTCAAATTGTCAAATAATTGAATGGTGCTGCTGGGATTTGAACCCAGGATCTCCTGTTTACTAGACAGGCACTTTGACACACTAAGCCACAGCACCTTGTAGTTGTAATAATAACACTTTCACTAAATGACAGGACATAATATGAAAACAACTTCAAGTAGTTGGAAAAACTAAAGTACACCAGTTCAAAGGCCAACTCATTCAAGGTACTGCTGGGATTTGAACCCAGGATCTTGTTTACGAGACAGGCACTTTAACAAACTAAGCCACAGCACCTTGTAGCTGTAATAATAACACTTTCACTAAATGCCAGGACATAATATGAAAACAACTTCAAGTAGTTGGAAAAACTAAAGTACACCAGTTAAAAGGTCAACTCATACAATGGTGCTGCTGGGATTTGAACCCAGGATCTCCTATTTACTAGACAGGCACTTTAACAAACTAAGCCACAGCACCTATTACTTGTAAACATCAGACTTTCACTAAATGACAGGACATATTATGAAAACAACTTCAAGTAGTTGGAAAAACTAAAGTACACCAGTTAAAAGGCCAACTCATTCATAGGTACTGCTGGGATTTGAACCCAGGATCTCATTTACTAGTCCGGCACTTTGACCAACTAAGCCACAGCACCTTGTAGTTGTAATAATAACACTTTCACTAAATGACAGGACATAATATGAAAACAACTTCAAGTAGTTCAAAAAAACTAAAGTACACCAGTTAAAAGGCAACTCATTCACAGGTACTGTTGGGATTTGAACCCAGGATCTCCTGTTTACGAGACAGGCACTTTGACCAACTAAGCCACAGCACCTTGCAGTTGTAATTAATAACACTTTCACTAATTGCCAGGACATAGTATAAAAACAACTTCAATAGTTGAAAAACTAAAGTACACCAGTTCAAAGGCCAACTCATTCATAGGTACTGCTGGGATTTGAACCTAGGATCTCCTGTTTACGAGACGGGCACTTTGCCCAACTAAGCCACAGCACCTTTTACTTGTAATTATCACACTTTCACTAAATGACAGGACATAATATGAAAACAACTTCAAGCAGTTGGAAAAACTAAAGTACACCAGTTAAACGGCCAACTCATTCATAGGTGCTGCTGGGATTTGAACCAGGATGTCCTGTTTACTAGACAGGCACTTTGGCCAACTAAGCCACAGCACCTTTACTTGTAATATCACACTTTCACTAAATGACAGAAGTAATATGAAAACAACTTCAGTAGTTGGAAAAACTAAAGTACACCAGTTAAAAGGCCAACTATTGCAAGGTGCTGCTGGGATTTGAACTCATGTTCTCCTGTTTACAAGACAGGCACTTTGCCAACTAGCCACAGCACCTTGTAGTTGTAATATAACACTTTCACTAAATGCCAGGACATAGTATGAAAACAACTTCAAATAGTTTGAAAAACTAAAGTTTTTCAAACTATTTGAAAAACTAGTTGGCCTTTTGACATCAGTCAAAAGGCCAACTCATTCAAAGGTACTCCTGGGATTTGAACCCAGGATCTCCTGTTTACAAGACAGGATCTTGACAACTAAGCCACAGCACCTTTAGTTGTATAACACTTTAACTAAATGCCAGGATATAATATGAAAACAACTTCAAGTAGTTGGAAAAACTAAAGTACATTAGTTAAAAGACCAACATTCATAGTACTGCTGGGATTTGAACCAGGATCTCTGTTTACGAGACAGGAACTTTAACCAACTAAGCCACAGCACCTTGTAGCTGTAATAATAACACTTTAACTAAATGCCAGGACATAATATGAAAACAACTTCAAATAGTTGGAAAAACTAAAGTACATCAGTCAAATTGTCAAATAATTCAATGGCACTGCTGGGATTTAAACCCAGGATCTCCTGTTTACTAGACAGGCACTTTGACCAACTAAGCGACACCACCTTGTAGTCGAACTAATAACATTTTCACTAAATGCCAGGACATATTATGAAAACAACTTCAAGTAGTTGGAAAAACTAAAGTACACCAGTTAAAAGGCCAAATCATTCAATGGTGCTGCTGGGTTTTGAACCCAGTATCCCCTGTTTACTAGACAGGCACTTTGACCAACAAAGCCACAGCACCTTGTAGTTGTAATAATAACACTTTCACTAAATGCCAGGACATAATATGAAAACAACTTCAAGTAGTTGGAAAAACTAAAGTACATCAGTCAAATTGTCAAATAATTCAATGGTGCTGGGATTTGAACCCAGGATCTCCTGTTTATTAGACAGGCACTTTGACACTAAGCCACAGAACCTTGTAGTTGTAATAATAACACTTTCACTAAATGCCAGGACATAGTATAAAAACAACTTCAAATAGTTTGAAAAACTAAAGTTTTTCAAACTATTTGAAAAACTAGTTGGCCTTTTGACATCAGTCAAAAGGCCAACTCATTCAAGGTCCTGGGATTTGAACCCAGGATCTCCTGTTTACAAGACAGGGATTTTGGACAACTAAGCCACAGCACCTTGTAGTTGTATTTATAACATAACTAAATGACAGGACATAATATGAAAACAACTTCAAGTAGTTGAAAAAAACTAAAGTACACCAGTTAAAAGGCCAAGTCATTCATAGTTGCTGCTGGGATTTAAACCCAGGATCTCCTGTTCACTAGACTAGCAGTTTGACCAACTAAGCCACAGCACCTTGTAGTTGAAATTACAACACTTTCACTAATTGCCAGGACATAGTATGAAAACAACTTTAAATAGTTGGAAAAACTAAAGTACATCAGTCAAATTGTCAAATAATTCAAAGGCTGCTGGGATTTTAACCCAGGATCTCTGTTTACTAGACAGGCACTTGACCAACTAAGCCACAGCACCTCTTACTTGTAATCATCACACTTTCACTAAATGACAGAACATAATATGAAAACAACTTCAAGTAGTTGGAAAAACTAAAGCAGTTAAAAGGCCAACTATTCAAGGTGCTGCTGGGATTGTACCCATGGTCTCCTGTTTACAAGACAGGCACTTTGACCAACTTAGCCACAGCACCTTGTAGTTGTAATAATAACACTTTCACTAAATGCCAGGACATAGTATAAAAACAACTTCAAATAGTTTGAAAAACTAAAGTACATCAGTCAAAAGGCCAACTCATTCAAAGGTACTCCTGGGATTTGAACCCAGGATCTCCTGTTTACAAGACAGGGATTTTGGACAACTAAGCCACAGCACCTTGTAGTTGTATTTATAACACTTTCACTAAATGCCAGGATATAATATGAAAACAACTTCAAGTAGTTGGAAAAACTAAAGTACATTAGTTAAAAGGCCAACTCATTCATAGGTACTGCTGGGATTTGAACCCAGGAATCTGTTTACGAGACAGGCACTTTACCAACTTAGCCACAGCACCTTGTAGCTGTAATAATAACACTTTCACTAAATGCCAGGACATAATATGAAAACAACTTCAAATAGTTTGAAAAACTAAAGTACATCAGTCAAATTGTCAAATACTTCAATGGCGCTGCTGGGATTTAAACCCAGGATCTCCTGTTTACTAGACAGGCACTTTGACCAACTAAGCGACACCACCTTGTAGTCGAACTAATAACATTTTCACTAAATGCCAGGACATATTATGAAAACAACTTCAAGTAGTTGGAAAAACTAAAGTACACCAGTTAAAAGGCCAAATCATCCAATGGTGCTGCTGGGTTTTGAACCCAGTATCCCCTGTTTACTAGACAGGCACTTTGACCAACAAAGCCACAGCACCTTGTAGTTGTAATTACAACATTTTCACTAATTGCCAGGACATAGTATAAAAACAACTTCAATAGTTTGAAAAACTAAAGTACACCAGTTCGAAGGCCAACTCATTCATAGGTACTGCTGGGATTTGAACCCAGGATCTCCTTTTACGAGACAGGCACTTTAACAACTAAGCCACAGCACCTTTAGCTGTAATAATAACACTTTCACTAAATGCCAGGACATAATATGAAAACAACTTCAAGTAGTTGGAAAAACTAAAGTACACCAGTTAAAAGGCCAACTCATTCAAAGGTGCTGCTGGGATTTGAACCCAGGATCTCCTGTTTACAAGTCAGGCACTTTGACCAATTTAGCCACAGCACCTTGTAGTTGTAATAATAACACTTTCACTAAATGCCAGGATATAATATGAAAACAACTTTACATAGTTGGAAAAACTAAAGTACATCAGTCAAATTGTCAAATAATTCAATGGTACTGCTGGGATTTGAACCCAGGATCTCATTTTTACTAGACAGGCACTTTGACCAACTAAGCCACAGCACCTTGTAGTTGTAATAAGAACACTTTCACTAAATGCCAGGACATAATATGAAAACAACTTCAAGTAGTTGGAAAAACTAAAGTACACCAGTTCAAAGGACAACTCATTCATAGGTACTGCTGGGATTTGAACCCAGGATATCCAGTTTACGATACAGGCACTTTAACCAACTAAGCCACAGCACCTTGTAGCTGTAATAATAACACTTTCACTAAATGCCAGGACATAATATGAAAACAACTTCAAGTAGTTGGTAAAACTAAAGTACACTAGTTAAAAGCTCAATCATTCAAGGTGCTGCTGGGATTTTAACCCAAGATCTCCTGTTTACTAGACAGGCACTTTGCCCAACTAAGCCACAGCACCTTTTACTTGTAATCATCAGACTTTCACTAAATGACAGGACATATTATGAAAACAACTTCAAGTAGTTTGAAAAACTAAAGTACACCAGTTAAAAGGCCAACTCATTCAAAGGTGCTGCTGGGATTTGAACCCAGGATCTCCTGTTTACTAGACAGGCACTTTGACCAACTAAGCCACAGCACCTTTTACTTGTAATCATCACACTTTCACTAAATGACAGGACATAATATGAAAACAACTTCAAGTAGTTGGAAAAACTAAAGTACATTAGTTAAAAGGCCAATCCATTCATAGGTACTGCTGGGATTTGAACCCAGGATCTCTTGTTTACTAGACAAGCATTTTGAACAAATAAGCTACAGCACATCTCTCTCGCTATCTTATTACCTTTTATTGATGCCAGGACATATAGGAAAAACAACTTCTGGGAGTAAGTAAAACTAAATACATCAGTCAGTAGGCCACTAATTCAGGTGCTACTAGGATTTGAACCCAGTATCCCCTGTTTACTAGATAGGCACTTTGACCAACTTAGCAACTTGTAACAGTTGAAATAAATCCTTTTTTCAATATGCCAGGAAATGTTTTGAAACTGACTTCAAATATGAAAAAATTTAAGCAAAAAAATTTATCAGTTTTGAAGCTTTTTGTTGAATGCTACTGCTGGGATTTGAACCTATCATATTCTATTTACTTGACAAGCACTTTGACCAAATTAGCCACTGCCCCTATGAAGTTGTTCAGAGTACATTAAGACAACTGCACAAGAATTTCATGTTATTCTCGATGTAAAATATATTTTCACAGCCTTGTCTTATTTACTACTCTGATTGCATCGGTTCTGCTACAAACTCCTGTTAATTTTTCTATTTACATTAGTTGACCTTTATTTCAACAACAGATCAACACTTTGAATCGTTTCAAACATGTTTTTATTAAAATACAGTATGAATCAACAGGCTCATTGTTTCGCAGCAGCATCAGTAACACATGTTAAACCTCCAGGTGTTGATCTGTGTCAATCTCTGGACCACGGCTGCGAACATCTGTGTGTCAGCACCACTGACTCCTACATCTGTAATTGTAATGAGGGATTCCTGCTGGCTGACGATGGGAAAAGATGTGAAAGTAAAGTCTTAGCATCTTTTGTTTTTTTATTCTTAGATGCAACTCATGTTAAAACAAACAAACAAACAAAAAATCTACATCAAGACGTTTTTCATGTATTTGCGCCTGACAGGACCAGGCTGTCACGACGGAGTCATGGATTTGGTGTTTGTGATCGATGGCTCCAAGAGTTTGGGCCCCGCCAACTTTGAACTGGTCAAGCAGTTCGTCAACAGCATCGTGGACTCGCTGGAAGTCTCCAGGATGGCCACGCGCGTCGGACTCATCCAGTTCTCCACCAAGGTGCGCACAGAGTTCTCTCTGGGCCAGCACGCCGCAGCGCGGGACGTCAAGCGGGCCGTGAGCCAGATGCGGTACATGGGGAGGGGCTCCATGACCGGCTCGGCGCTGCGCCACATGTTCCAGTTCAGCTTTTCGGAGAAGGAAGGCGCCAGGCTGAACGTCCCGCGCGTTTGCGTGGTGTTCACCGACGGAAGGTCGCAGGATGATGTTTCCGAGTGGGCCAGCAGAGCAAAGACCTCGGGTGATATGAGGGACTTTGTCTTTATTCAGACTTTCTAACGAAGGCGTGATCGTCTGATACTGAACTGGGCCTTCGCTCTGTTTTCTGCTTCTCTCAGGGGTGACGATATACGCGCTGGGCGTTGGGAAGGCCATTGAACAGGAGCTGAGGGAAATCGCTTCAGAGCCTCCTGAGATGCATCTCTATTACGCGGAGGACTTTGAGAAAATGGGAGAAATTACAAAGAAACTGAAGTCAAGGATGTGTAAAGGTGATCACTTAGTATGAACTGATTTTACTGCAAAATCTCCCCAAGTGTGTTTTGGTCTCATTTCTTTTAGTGCAAATATTTCATTTAAGTGTGCTTAAAATGAGACAAAAGGGTAACTTTTTCAGCAAGAACTAAGATTGTTTTAAGTCAATAATTCCCTAACGTTGATATAAAAGTGATGGTTACACTGGCAGGTTATTTAACTTTGTGAAAAT